TAACACGCCCCCACATGTCTACGTCACTGTGTGGGAAGATTTGCATAACGCCACCCAAATGTTCAAGCAAAGAAAAAAGGCGTAACTTTGATTTTCACTGTAGTATTGTTGCTGCCGCCGCCGCCATGTCGTGGAGATGCTGTGTGTTTTGTTGTGAAAGCGAAACTACTTTGTTTGGTCTTCCAAAAGAGGACACGACTAGAAATCAGTGGTTAAGTTGTATTTACAACACTGTTCCAGAACACTTCAACCCAAATATTCAGATGTGTGCAACGCATTTTACGGAGGACGAGGACTGTTTCCTGCGAGAGTAGCTTACAATGCCGGTGTTCCGGTAAATTCAGTTCCCCCGTTTCCCCTTCGGCGCGCATGCTGACCACAGTCTATGATTCTGACAAATAATGCTGACTCACAGCCTATAAGTAAGTTTTCATATTTAAAAGATTTGCCACTGATGATTCAAACGCGAGTTTTGAGCAGTGTAGAGTAGCGTTTGTCATTTCTCCAATCACAAATGCAGACATGGTTTTATATTTATGCGGTGCGATGCAACGTGTAAAAAAACAGTATAAGTCATTATAATCAGTAATTATATCCCCATTGGATGCAACAAATTCCTCGTTTATAATGGGTTTTATTGGTTTTGTCTCGTCGCGCCGGGACACGGCATCACAGTATGGTAAAGGCCGAAGTTCACATTACGTGATTTTCATCATCAGGAGGGCTCGCGGAGAGCTGTGCGCCCCGTCCGCGTGCAGGCAATTTTTTGAGACCGCGTGGATGGTGCGCGTACAACAGCGCATGCGTGAGGTGAATGTTGAGACAAGAGTAGGTGGTACTGCGCATATGTGTCGAGCTCGTCCGGGAGTATACTTTGAAAACTGTGCGGACGCTGCTGTGCGCGAGACGGAATGGAATGCGGAAAGTGAAGTATACCCGTGCCTTAAACAATAATGTACAGTATGTGGAAAATAATGTGTTTTTTTTAACCTTAAACCGTGTAAGCACATTTCATTACACCTGACCAAATACACTAAATAATGTTCTTTTTTAGCAACGTCATATGACCCATTTAAATGTCTTTTTGACTCCATAGAAAGATAAATGAGAAATGTCCATAATTTGGGTGCTCAAAAGCAGGATGGAAGACAAAGTGCGTGTTGTTTGTGGCCTTTAATTTGAAACTTGGGACAAATTGGACAACTTTTTAATATGATATGGAGGGTGTTTTCCTCATTTTTCTTTGGAAAAACTAATACAGTGGCTTGTTTGTCTGCTGTCAGGTGCTCTTAGGCACTATTAAAAATCTCATGTGTTGGTTTACGGTGGCCTCCTGCTAAATGCCCTTTGGCATGAGAGGGAGAGCGGATTAGTGTTAAAGACGTGTTCGGTGATATATTTCAGGTCTTAAAGACCTAACAAGCTGAGTCTAA